CAGTGATGTGTGTGATATGTTATATGTCATCAATAAAGCCAGAGGGCACCAGTGAGCCTCAAACAACCACGGAATAGAGTGCTCAGAAAGAAAAAAGGATAACACAGAAGCATAGGAAAATAGGGCTGGAAGGACCTCATAAAGTGATCTAGCCCAGCCCCATTTTGTTCAAGGCAGGATTATCCCCAACTAAATCATCCTAGCCAAGTGTCAGTCTGACCTGCTCTTGAAAATTTCCAGGGATGCAATGTGCACAACTTCTCTAGGTAGCTTGCTCCAATGCTTAAATGCACTCATATTAAGAAAATTCTTCCTAATCTCCAATCTAAACTTCCTGTGCCACATTTTGAAGCCATTGCTCCTAGTCCTGTCCCCTTAGGCACACAGAATAGTTTCCATCCTCTCTGTAATTGCCCTTCAGGTTTTGAAGACTGTCATCAAATCCTCCCCCTCAGTGTTTTGTTCTCCAGACTACATGACCCTAGTTCTTTCAGCCTTTCCTCATGAGTCATGTTTTCCACGGCTCTCATTATTTTTGTTGTTCTCTGCTGGATTTTAATCTATCTACATCTTTTTTGAAGTGTGGAGCCCAAAACTGGACACAATACTACAATTCAGTTTTTTGCAACAAGAGTACATTGTTGGCTCATATTCAGGTTCTGTCCACTATAACCCCCAGGTCCTTCTCTGCAGTACTAGTTTAGCTAATCATACTCTAACCTGTATTCCTCCCCAACTGCAGGACTTTGCACTTTTCCGTTTTTTTTTTTTTTTGAATTAACCCCAATTGATTTTGGATCATTTCTCCAGTTTATCCAGGTCATTCTATGTCCCACCCCAACCCTTGAGTGTCTTCAGCTGCACCCAACTTAATGTTATCCACAAATTGGTTCAGCACACATTCAATCCCATCCTCCAACTCAATAATGAAGACGTTAAACAATACTGGATTTAGGACACACACCTGGGTAACACCGCTGGATCCCTTGGCCCAACTAGAAACTGAGCTATTGATGACTAGTTGCTGAGCACAATGTCTTAAACGTGTGCAGGGTTTGAATTATGGGGGGAGGGTTTGTGGGGGACTGAACCTGCCTCCCCATAAGAGACACAAGCTCCCCCTGCAGCTGAGCAGAAACTGCTGTTGAGCACAAAGGAAAAGCGGCCCCTCCCCCTCATTGCTGCCAGGTGCTTTTTGCTGCAGATGCCTGGAGCCCACACCCCGACTACCCTGAGGCTTCTCTCCACCACCACTGCCTCCGACCCCCACAAGAGTCAAAGTGTAATTTGAACCCTGGGTGTGTGGGTTTATGTAACTGTTGAAACCAGAGTAGAGTGTGCTGGTGTAACTGTATGGTCCCACCCATGCCTACTTCACAGATAATATGTTTGTGGGCACACCTACATGAGATGCTACTATGCAGTGGTTACTGTGCATTTATTTAATACTTGTATAAGCAAGTACTAAATAAATGCATAGTTACCAGAGTTATGGTGTAGCAATGCTGGTGAATGTCTTTTAAGTCATGCTACTGCGCGGTAGCCTATTAGCACTGTCCATGCTACAATGTGATACTGCACAGTATTATTAGGCTACTGCATAGTTAGCATCTCGTGTAGATACATCCTGTGTAGACCATAGCTACTAAACATAGTCTTAGCTCAAGTAGCTACTTATTCTTTCACTTTTGGTGTTCCCTGCCCACCACCGCTCCCTGCTGGTTACCAAGATGATGACTAATGTAAAGTAGGGATTGGTCCATGATTTGAACTCCTGTAGGAAGCAGCTTCAGATGAGTCTTTGTACTCGTTCCTTCGCTCAAGATCCAGAGATGCATGCTGTTAGCTTTGAAGGTCTTGCAAACTGATTTCCAAGGTATGATCTGACATAGGTAAAAACTTCAGAATTCTAGTCTTGCCAGTCACTCACTGCTATCACAACAGTTATTTGGTATTTTCCCTGAAGTCTTAGCTCTTGGAATTGTATGAATACCTAAGAATCTCATATTTCATTACAAAAAAGTTTCTAGACCTCATGGTTACAAAGAAAAGCTTGAACATATAAACCAAACATACATAAAATAGAAGCCAAATACAGAGTACGCAAATATGATTTAATAAAGAACAAACCCCATGACTGAAGCCAATTTCATGATTTTTTTAGCTTTATTTTAATTCTGTATGCTTGCAGTTCAAACCCCATAATCCCAACAGTCAAAACATTATGAAGATCCTTTTATCAATTATAATTTATTCCTATAAATTTAGAGGATTAAGATATGTGGGTATAACCCTGTCCATACTATTGGTTGTAACAACATAACTATTGTGGTTAAAATAATGTACCAAGTCAAAAATCTATTTTATTTGTTTTTAAAACTATGTAGACTAGGTCACAAACCATAGATTATCTTTAAAAAAACCCTTATGTTAAAATAACAAGAGTAGGGTTGAAAGTCAAGGACTGAAAAGTTAAGGAAATACCAGAATTAAAGTTGCCCGCTCACCCTTCTTTTGGCATCTTGACCATTATGATCCAGACATTAATTACATGATCACATATTGTTTGTTCCCCAAGTCCCTATCTCATTCAGTGAACAGAATGGAAAATGTTCACTTAATATGAATTTATTCAAAGCACTTTTATATCTTTATCGTTCACTATGTGATCCTAAGCTGCATTTACTGCACACAGTTCAAATGTTACTCTAAAGACAGTTACTACTTTCTTCACAGCCTGTTCTATAAAACTTACCACTATAGTACCCAAGTGTTTTGCAAAAATTAATCTATTTATTTTCAGAATGTCCTTGTGAGTTGAGGGGCTATTATTATGCCCATCTGACAGATGAGCAATTGAGGAAGAGACATCAAATTACCTATTAATTTTGGATGCCCACCTGAGATGCATTCTACTGAATGCTTCAAAGTATTTAGTATTATCTAGGACTTAAGTCCATTGACTTCAGATGTAACTGTACATTTTTTCTGCAATTCTGAAAATCATAATCTAGAGTATCAAGCTTGGCACCAGAAAATAAGGAACACAAACTAGCAATCAACCTGGGAAAAGTCTGGTTTGAATAAGTTGCCTAGCATCACATGCACAGATGCAATGACATTATCCCTTCTGTACTGAATGCAGCAGGGGTCCTGTGGATATAATATGTGACCATGTAATTAAACTACTGACTGAAACATTTTGGGTGATATTTAAAAAAAATATGTGGGGAAGACACCAAACAAAGAAAGATTCAGCTCAGACTGCTGAAGTTTGGCAAGAGTATAAAAAAATTGAAAGTAGAATTCTTTACCTCGAGGGGTGAGCTTAATAATACACAGTGCTACCAAGCCCACTTACAATGCTGACTGGGGCATCATAAATACTTAAAGACAAACAGATGGACATGACAGGCTTATACAATACCACACTGAGAAATAGAGCAACCTATGGAGAAGGACTGGGGTACTGATCAGAAAAGACACTATTTCTAAGCAGGATCAATCTCTTTCTCTCTCTCCACTTGTACTTTTCTTCATTCTTCAGTTTGTTTGGTTTCTTCCCTCCCCTCACCCCACTGTCTGCCTCATGAACTTTTTATCTATAAAGCATTCAGATATTTAATTAAGGCAATGGGTTAGGAAGACCAGACAGGTGAAAGGAAAGAAAGTAACAAAATAAATATCTCAGACAACATAATACTGCTTGAATGCAAAATATTTAAGCAGCATCCGATTCTCTCTCAGCTGGGTGTCTTACTTTTCCATCTTATCTATTTGGGACTATCCCCACCTCTGTTCCACCTGATCTTCCTAGAGCAACAATTCTCAACCAGGGGACTGACACCCGGGATGCCTGGAGATCGGTTCACAGATGCAGTGGGGTGCCACACAATGTTTGCACTGTTAGGTATACAAACATGATTCACAGGATAAACCTAGGCATTACAAATAGGAATCTACAGTGTTAAAAACACTCTCACCTGTTGTGGTCTTTTTGAGTTCTCTGCAACAGAATTGCTCTATTACCTTTCTGTACTTTTCACACTATTTTTGACTAGGAGCTGACTTTTTCCAAGGTGTCATGGGGTGCCTTGAGTCTAAAAAGATTGAGAACTATTAATATAGAGCAGGGGTATTCCATCTTTGGTCCACAGGCCACATTCAGCCTCCAGCGCATTGCCACGTGGCCTGCGGGGCTCCCCATGAACCTACACACTAGATCTGGCATGCAGGGTGGTGTGGGGTCCAATCCTCATAGAGGGGGCTGGGTGGAGGAGGCGCAGCATCCCAGTCCTGGTACACAGAGCCTGGCAGTGTCTGTGTGGGGTCCTGGGCCCCGATCCTGGGATGCGGGGCTGGGTGGAGGCAACATGGGATCCCAGGACCCTGATCCTGGCACACGGGCCGGGCTGGGGCAGTGCAGTCTGGATCCAGGTGTGCAGACCTGATCTGGACTACGGACCAGCTTGGCACCACTTATTTGGCTCATGGGGCCATGAAGTTGAGCATCATTGATCTAGAGACAGGCTTTGCTCCTGAGGTAACTTCAGTTAAATGGCTGACAATTAATAGAGTTACTTAACAAGTTTGTCAAATCCAACATAAGCATTTGATGTAGGGCACAACAATTCTGTTTTTGGTCTTGGTTCCACTTAGGCTGAGCTAGAAAATGATTCATAAAAACAAACATCTGTGGAGTGTCTATATTCATATTTATTTACTATCATGTTTGTTAATGGGACTTAACTGGAATCAATTACCTCTAATAGCAACATAACTATAAATTGTAGTCTAGGCATACTCTGTGTGGAGATGGTACATAGTAGCACTGCTTGGTTCATACAACCCCCAAAACAAACTGATGAAATTAAATATTCACTTACATTGTGAGTAAATCTATACGTGCCCCTATGGTGTCATTGTTATTGTATACCCAGTACATTTAGCACTCCTTTGGGATATACTAAACGATGGCACAGTAACAGCCCATACCGTACCATCTGCACAGTGCAGTTATTTTTAGCTGCTATGTCGCCATAGCGATGCGCTATCCCAAGGGAGCGCATCGCTACAGTGACGTAGCTGCCGTGGCACGGTTTTCGCCCATTGACGTTAAGTTGCTGTAGTGCGTTGCTACGGCACCGTAGCGTCTTGTACAGTGTTTGTGTTGCTTAGTTTTACAAATACACAGTTCTACCTCAGACCAGCCAGAATAAGTCACCAACTGTGATCACATGTATTAAATAAGTCCACCATACCAAAATGAAGGGAAAACAACTTCTTTCCCTCAACTACAGCAGGTAAAATCTGTTTCTAAATTTTCCTAAAACTGACATATTGCACCATGGGCTGGTGTTTCATGGAAAGACTTTAAACTTAACATAGCATGAAGTTCATCCTCTTTAATTTTTCCAAGTTCTGTCTAAATGAAGTTCAATGTCTGGCTTATAAAACACCAGCAGGACAAGAAACTAATAGAAGACACTAGATTTGAACTGATTTCTGTAGAGCGCTATAATACAGTACTTGGAGCAAAATACCTAAGAAACTGTTAATCTGCATAACAAAATTAACCTTAGTTTGTTTTTTTTCCCCCCAATTCTTTTCTTGTGCAGTGGTATGTGGGTCAGTCACCCTCTTCTGCATGAAAAACCACAGAAGGCAACTCATTGCAAAGAAATCCCAGTGAGATTTCTATAGAAGATTCTCCCATAGAAAGCCACTGGGGATTGCATGGTCTAGGATTGTCGCTTTTCAGCAAAAGCTGCAAAGGTGTTAGTTGTCTACCTCAACTTTGACTCACACTTGAGCCTTCTCCCAACCGCCTAATAGCAAAATTCCACTGAAGTAATATTTGCAACCACAACTATTCCAAAAAAACAACACTGAACTGTGGTTTTTTGTTCCAGAAATCATTTGTTTTATTTACTGTCTGGCTGTGAAAATTTTGCTGTATCCTTAGTTCATGTTTTTAGCTTTTTTTTGCAAAAATGACAGCAAGCCCTTTTCAAATAAAAGCTGAGATTCTCCTATTTTCAGGACTCCAGGATCTTGGGCTTTAAAAACAACACCAGGTAAAGTAAAACAAAAGCTTAGTCAAAAATGCAGAAATTAAACACACACATATGCACGGAATTATATTTTATACACACATACAATTCCATGCACAGTCTAAATCACCAAATGTGCAAATCAATTTAATTGAGTTTGCTTTGTATGTACATAAGGGCTGATCCTGCATTGAGTATGGAGGCTAAACTCCAATTAGTATCAATGGAAATTCTGCCCAAGTAAAATATAGAAATCAGACCCAGAATTTCTAAATCTTATCATTTTACCATAAGCCTTGCAAAGTTTAGGGTTTTCTTTAACTCTCAGCTGATGTGATCAGACTCATATGCTCATGAAATATTCATTTTTAATAAATTAAGTTTCTTGACCTCAAGATTCCAGAGAAAACCTTGAAAACATGAAAGGAAGAGTATCATAAAGATTAAAAAACTAGAAGGTAAATAAAAAGGAACCCATAATGTAGTAGTTAAAAAAAACAAATGAACTAACTAACAAACAAACAAACCCTTTCTGATTTCAAAGACAAATCTCATGATCTGGGAAGGCAGATTTTTTTAAACATTTGTTGCGGGCAATATTGTCACAATAGTGTCACGGTTGTAAGATTCAGTAAAGAATTTCTGAGATCAGGTTTCGTGCTTATTTAGAACCTTAAAAACGGCATTCTGACAGCAGCTCTGGTAGTACTGAGAATTGATTATGGATATATGCCTGTCAGGAAAACAGAATTATTTAATGCTGCCCCTAAGGGTTACTTTTAACAGTATTACTAAATGTCTGTATGTATACTTTTTTTCTTAAATTTATTATGGTAGGTCAAGCTATAATACTTGACCTACCATAACAAAAATTAGTCATGACTGTTTCAAAATTTTCTTCTCAAGCTTATTTGTTTCTTTCCTAATGCCCACTATTTTAGATAAACCCTTTCACTAGTCATTTTTCATCTCTGAACTTAAAAAATGGTGGCCTGAACAGTATCTATGCCTGTATTTGGATGGATGGAAAAATAATTGTATAGTTTTGCATAGCAGGAAAGAAGTACAAGCTTTCTAACACATTCAAAAAAGCCTTTTCAGATCCAGAATTTCAAGAAGCAAAATCTCAGCCTTTGTCCTGTTAACTGTTCCATCTGGTCACTTAGGAGTTTTGCCAACATTTCCACACAAAGAGTCTTTGAACTCTTTTAGCATTTAAATGTTATCTGACAGCTTTTTTGTCAGATATGCACCTAATAGTGTACAGATGGCAGGGTGCTAGCAAGTTTACACATAAGTGAACTTGAAGCTACCCTTGAAATACTTATCCTTTAAAAAAACCCAACCTCATTTGGGACTGTGCATTCTACTGCTGTTCCAATTTCCTTATTAGGCAAATAAAAAGTGAAAGTGAAAAACAGACACAGAACACTTCAAAAAACTCCACCCATAGCAAGAATCTGTTCATTTATTTCTAGGCCAGCAAAATGTGAATTCTCATGGTGAATTTACATCATATTAGACAGGAAATAAAAAATTAAATGATGGAACTCCTACCAGGAATTGTTTCATATGATAAGAAAAACATTCCATTCAGTACATTGGCATTATGGAGTAGATTATCACCTCAAAGGGCCAAAAAATTGTGCACACAACTCCTACTGATAATAACACTTACAGATCTGTTCTATATTCATCGTGCTAAAATATATTTTAAATAACCTGCAGCAAATATTATGCAGTAATTGCCATTCAGCCTTGCCATGAAAATATAGAATTGTGATCTGCCAAAGTTGACATCTAATTGGTTACTGCATTCTTTACTGAACAGATTGACTCAATCTTCAGCCCCAATACAAAGCAACCAGAAAACTGCCTAAAAGTGGCAGCCCAGGTTTCCCTCTCAAAACAGAAGACGCAAAACTGGCATCGCTTTTTCTATGATGTAACGTTCAATGCTTCTCTGTACTCACACCTATTCCATATAGGGAAGTGAATAGGGGCAGAATCTGTCAGGGACGGAACACCGAATGGATGTCCCAAAATGCAGCTACCCTGCTGCTGGGGTAACATAAGGGAGGTGAGCAACTTCAGCTATGGGTAAGAGAAAAGTGAAAATAACAAGAGATGCCTTTTCCCTCTCTGTACTACCTAACTGCATCAAATGAAAAAGTCAAAGGGATTATTTATGTGCTTAAGTCTTTGCAGGATCACAGGCTGCTTCTGCTAGTACTTAAGACTTCACAATTCATAGACACAGGAAAGAATTAAACTTTTAGAAAAAGATTTGAATAAAAAGGTGTTGGCTTTGTCACTTGCTATTTGACAGCCTATTCAAATACACAGTTCATGGCTCCAGTCTTAATTAAAATGAGCTATTATAACCTCCTTTAAAGATGTAAGATACATGATTAGGAATAAAAGCATAATCTAACTGAGCAAATGAAACAGACCAGAGCAATGGAAAAAACGGCATCTAGGAAACACTTTGAAGCTTTACAGAAAAAGCTATAAAGACTTACCTAAAGACAAAGCATAATGATGATTCTGAAGAGGCTCTATAATTATTCACTTTGGGCTATATTTCTAAATATATTTGGATGATTAAAGATGCAGATGGCATTAAAATTTAATTGTTGAAGTGACTCTGATTTACCTAAAGAGCTGGTCAGCCATGTTAGTCTCAAAACAGGCAGAATGTAGGGCAGGGTGACACCTTGAAAACCAACTGGTTCAGAGAGGTGTGAAATTTCATAGGCTGTAACAGTCTGCTTTGTCAGATGTCAAGGTTTGCCTACTATCACTGGTCAGTAACCCAAATGCTGTTAGATTACTGTGTATTCTATTCACTCTCTTGGCATTCACCAGTAGCACCCTTGTTGCTTGCCCACAACTGACTGCCATGCTAGAAGAAACGTCAGGTCCTCTTACAACTTCTGGTTCCTTTTCAAATTCCAACTCTTCTAAATCTCTTACAACTTGACACTTAGGTTTTCCAGCCAGGGACACAAGAAAAGAGCCTCATTCCAAGCTAACATCAGCTTTGTTCCATGGATTTCTTAAAAGCAAGTATTCTTGTATGTCCAGCATTGAGACACTCGTTCTAGCAAGCTATCTCCCCCCAGTCCTTCTTTCCCTCTGTGAAACATCCATCCGATGTTGGAGGTGGGGAACCTGGAGATAGTCAGGGCTTCTACTCATACAACATACAGCACTGCTAGCAAAACACAAGAGGGAAAGAGACTGAATATTTACACCGAAACAGCAGCATATGCCCTGTTTTCCAGTCTTCAGAATATAAAGAAACAATACAGCATGCACGTACGAAAACCCAAAGAACGTTAAGAAAAAAAATCAACTCTCAAATGAGCTATAAATGAAAGGGTGTTATGGTGTTGACTTGCTTTCTTATACACATTTCTACAAAACCTCTAAAATTTAATTTCTTCAAATGGAGTTCCATTATTCAACCCACCAACCAAATGCATGCTCTGACAAATTCATCTACTAGTTTTGTCCCTGCAATTTTCTCCTGTCTTTGATAAAGAGGCAGATTCTTGGACGTACTTTCACTGAAACATGCAATCTTCCTCACCATTTTTTTCATAGCAGAAGGCTGAGAGCAGCAGCTCCAGTGCCTGTCAGATCTGGCAGACAGACTGTGCAGTGATGTCATAAAAGGGAGGGCTTCATCAGACTTAAAAATCCTAGCAGCTGTGCAAACAGCTTTCTCAGACACAATTTTTTTTCCATTTGCTTCATTTTTTTTTTTTTTTAACTTTTCCAAAACCTAGCAAAAACACCAGACCTAATGACAGACTATATGTTTGCCTGCAACATTATCTGTCAGATTCCTGTATTCTTACTGTTGTCGTGCTTATGAATTATTATTTTTTAATTAAAGTATTTTTTCTTTCTCCTGCAAAACAGGAGTAGCTGAATATGTATCCTCAAATTTTCAAGGCAACCTTGTGTTGAAACTATGCATGGAATTTAGCCCTAAAGAAATGTCTGAAAACAGGGAACTGAAACTTGCACTACTGCTTCTACATTCGGAAAAAGTTTGGCATAAAAAAGACAGATTCCCATACATAATTCTTTTTATTTGCCAAATTCATGTGATCTCCAGAAACGGTAAGCAACTTGTGTGCAGCATTTATTTGTATATAATACTACCTTGGCTGATGTATTTCTATCCAAGTATGGGAGGAAAGAGAACAGCTGCAAATATCAGACTTGCCTTGCCATCTACTGAAACATGCATTTCGCATTTTGCAATTTGCAATTCAACTGTTTTCTTTAACACAGTCTCCTCATGCCTCCTACAAAAGGCACATAATATTATCTGGTACAAGTGAAAGGTATTGTAAAAAGCAAGTCAGCTCTGCATAGTATTAGTTCTTGGCTGGAGAGGTCAAGTCCAGTTACTTGATGCATTGGTCTGTCAGTTCATCAGAAAAATTACTGACTACTGTTTAAATTCACCCATTTGCACTATGTGGGGAGCATATTGTGCCCATAATGTTTGTAAACTGCAGAATCAAAGCTCAAATTATTTACAGTTGGCTCTGTTGAAAACTCCTCTCAGTTTTCAGCCTCAGAACTGTAGAAGTTCTGAGGGGGAAAAAATGAAATCTAGAGTTTGTTTTTAGAGATGTCAGGGAATATCCTTAAGTCTACTGTTACAGAGGTGAGTGTCCATTTGTGCAAAACCTTCTAGTGACAGTCATCTGTTAACACAGTTATTTGTTCTTATTTAGGAATGCATAAGATGTACTACATCAGTATAAAAATGCTGCATTGATAGGATCAGCTTGGATACTCTCCTAAGGATAAGGATTCTACTGAGCTTTCACACAAAGTTCACTCAAAGCTGCAGTCTAATCAGATGATAAAATTAAGATAGTTCTCAAAATGCTCAATAGTATCTATGCCTAAAAAAATCCCCCACTAATATCCTGTATAATTACTGCAATTCTAAATGATCATTAACCTTTATGATGCATTTAGAATTTTATTAAGTTAGAATTATATGACAGTGCAGTAAACGTGACACAGATATCTTCAGACAGCACATGTCAGTCCACATGCACAGCTGGGTGAATCATAATCCCAATGCTGTAGGCCTCAAGTATTGCTTATACCCACTTTGACTGACTGACTGAGACAATGAAGTATGTAGCCACTGCAAACGTATTTTGTGATATCATTTCAAGCAAAGAAAATCTGGCAATTTTTAAACTCCTTTTCAAAAAGGAAAAAGAATACAATCCTGTGATAGAAACATGCACGTGTGTCATCAAAACATTCACTACTTGTATTTAAATTTGTTAAAGCCCCAGTTTGCAGTGAGTTCTGTATATTTACTCCCTTGGCACTCTTCAGAGGTACAGGGCAGGAGTTTTATACACATATAGAGCCCCTGGAAAGACCCAGCTCCACAGTCACTTTCTTTTTAATAATTGTATATAAAAAAGAAAGGACTATCTGAAAAAGGTAAGTTGTTACATTGGAGTTCTAATTGTTTCCTGGGCTAGCAAGAACCGAGTGTTGTATTTAGTTTTTTTATGCCTGGTGGAGGTATATCTTTCATTTATACTCAATAATCATCCCTCAGATGGAGTTAAGGAGCATCACTGACACACTTTGAAAGGAGCTGTATTCAGGTTATTAAACTGAGGGTCCCAAAAGTGAAGTGCCAAATTGAAAAAAGGTGGGAAGGAAGGTGGGAATAACTATTTAAAAGGCATTCACCCTTTGGGAAACCCGAAAAATCAAGAAGTTCTTTGACTGAGCCTTTATCACCTGGGTCTACGGTATATTATTCAGCTCTGTACAGCCAAGGAAAATCTTAACTCAGGTTATTCCCTGCTTCCTGAAAGCCAATAGAAGAAAGGTCAAATATGGATGGTTAGCAGGATTGGAAAATGTGTCTGAAAACAATGTATTTGTGATGCTTAGAAGTTTAGATTTGCTATTTATTAAGGCCAGATCCAAACCCTCATCCTCCCCCCAAAAGCAGAGAAAGGGAGGAGGACATGGGCATTTTGGTGCCCAAGGGAGATTTAGGCAGATTTCAGGAAAAATCCAGGGTGCCTTACTTTTTTGATTTCCAAGTTCCATGGGTATCTCTGCTTAGACTGCTACAGTTCTTGTCAGGGCACAGCTACAATTCACCTGCCTGACTGACTGAACACTTTTGTGCCTATTTCACACCTAAGCCTAATCAAGACCAGAAACTAGCCATTCTTCTGCCAAAGTCCTGTGAAGTGCTCCATCTGGGAGGTACTCACAGCAAGCCTCTCTCACACTGCCAGGATCACAGCCTTCTCCAAATGCACTTGTTGCTGTCATTCTCCCTTAAAACACAGGCAGGGAAAGTGGTAGCAATGCTGTTTCCCTTCCATTATACATTTATTCTTCTTGCCTAATGTTAGAGCACTTGCCCAGAAAAAGAGCAACAGAGGTTCAATTCTATGCTCTGCCTAAGGGGATTAAAATTTAAATATCTCACCTCTGAGGAGTACCCTAATTGTAAGACCATGACCTGTTCTGGAACTGGGCGTCCCTCCATCCCTCACGGTGAAGCTGTATTTTATAGTAAACAGTAGGGCTCTGAGAAATTTTGGCACCCGTTTTGTTTCGTGCCATTTCAGTGCCCGAAACACTGAATCCAAATTGAAACAAAAGGCTCAGA